GTAGAAATGAACCTTTGACTTAAATCCTGTACTCACCTATTCCAGACCAAACAAATAACAAAGGCCATAACAAAACAATAATACCATCAAAACTAATCTACAACTAATATATATATTTTGTTTGTTTGTATGTCTAAGTCTTAATGAATTTGACGATCAAATTGGTCAGGCTTTTAAAACAATTCTGTGTCTGGAGCACTTTCAATTTTTGATTGAGAAGATGTTGAATTGCCACGAGTATGTGCCTGGAATAAGATGCAAGAAACATGTCGTCGATGATTGTATGTATGCTTAAGGTGGTAGCAGAAACTTTTTTTTAATTGGCCCTGATTTGCATAATAATATAATTGTAAAATTTATATTGCATTAAGATCACTTCTCTTCTACCATTATTTCATCGTGATCTACGTGAAATTTTTTAACTAATCAGTATATCTTTTTCCAACTGCGAGATTTACTGATGCTCAGCATTTATTTTAAGTGGTTTTGAGATATCAAAGCAAATTGCTATTGCAAGTAACAAGTATATTCAAGTCATCGAATCAAAGATTGTGTTCATTTCATATTGTACCATGGGCTATTGTTCGTACTTCGTAGATTAGAAAACAGTTTCCAGAATTTGCAAAATATGCTCTAACAAGATAATGTCACCTGTGTACAATAAACCTCAGGAGTTTTGTATACCATAACATTGTGTTATTAAAGATAACGTCATATCATGCTTACCCTCATTTTACACACAATGAAGAAACTTCCTTCACCTACCTCTGATGCCTCTGTTAATTAGGAGATCAGTCAAAGCTAAACGAAACCAAAATATTAACATTCTGTTTTGCTTTTCACTATATCATTATAGCAATTTTGAAAAAAAGTAATTTAAAGATAGCGAACTATATAAGCAGCGTTCACAAAACACAAATTCGTTTTTTTGTTTCACACCAAATCAAAGCAATTGTACCGAGTTTAGTAAATTTGCATGCAAATTCTAACCTAAAACAAAATAAATATTTTGGTGCCGCTTATCACATGACCTCTCCTGCCACTAAAGCAAACCCAAACACAAGTTGTTATTGTAAAATTTTAATACAAGTATGAAACGTATAAAATACGGTAATGTACAAAGCAAATCCAACCCGCAGTTACTCTTCACTATAAAGTTAGAAATAGTCAAAATATACACAGAATTGAAATAATTCAATCACCGGCTAGTGTTAATTGTCTATTAAAACACTATTTTGTACAGTCTAATTACAAATTTACACTTTGTACAACTATTTTACACACTTTTTTTATATAATAAATAATTAGTTAAACTCTCTTATGATACCGCGATATCGCGCACCGACGATTTGAACAAGAAACGCGATTTAGAAGTAACATTATTTTAAAAACCGGGCGCGCTGCAATTTGAAATTTTGTGCATACCAGTAAATGCTGTGCAGGATTAGATAGTTAATACTTACGAGAGTTAAAAAGAATTTCGCATTCCAAATCAAATGAAAATCACCCATTTTTCAAAACTCATGCATCAGATGACGCAAAATTAAACACTATATTTTCAAATTGTCACACTTCAGAACCATAGTAATGCAGTAAATTAAATAAAATTTTAAATGCAATTTCAGAATATATCATGCCCCAGTTCAGATCTCTAATCTTTTACAATTTAAACTGTATACATGCTAAGAGTGCGTTTGGGACCCATTCTGTCTGATTTGAGAAAATAGTATCGGCAATCGTTCAGTCGGGTCAAAGTTAAACATAGTTGAATCACGCACGTCAAACAAACGAGAAAAATGCAGTTCAAAATAGAAATTCATGCTAAATATATAATATAGGCTTCATTTCTTATACTATTTGACACGGTGGCTGTATTGTAACGTATAATTTTTTACATACAATGTAGTTGAACCATAAAAATCACCAAAGGCAATATAATATTTAAACCTATGTAACCTTTCCAACACCGTATTAAAACGTATTAGAAATAAAACCTCAGAGTAAAATAAAATGGTAAAATCATTCACCAATTTATTTTAAAAACACACTTCCTCAACTGACATCAGTTCACTCAAAAAGCCACACCAAACTGTATTAACATTCAATACTTACATTCCCTTTATTAGGGAAAGAACTGAAAGGTTTACCCCACTACTCTTCATTGTTGGTCATCAGTTGTTGACCATCAAGCACTGGTCGTCAGTTGTTGACCATCAAACACTGGTCGTCAGTTGTTGACCATCAAGCATAGGTAATCAGTTGTTGAACATCAAGCATAGGTAATCAGTTGTTGATCATCAAACGTTGGTCATCAATTTGTTCGTCAGCAAAGCCACTAGCTGATGCCCTCCGTACCATACAGTCTTAGTATTGTACCACATAAACTGTTAATGAAACTTAACTAGCATAATTAGTTTTGATGTTTGGCTTATGCAAGTAACTTTTTACATTTAACCAAAAACACATCAGTTAGCCGAATGTAGCAGAAATCCATCGTCAAAGTCTGCAAGATCGAGTCGAGTTAAAACAGCATAACGATTATGATCAATCCTACCTCAGTGATAGCTTGTTCACTTTATCAGATTTTGATTCTCATCACCTTCAATGATTCAATATTTCCTAGCTTATGTTCTCAGCACATAACTAGAATATCACAAAAATGTTTCCATACAAGCTTAATTACATCTGTACAGTTTGGTATAAAAATCTTATGGACAAAATATTTACATCTATAATATTGAGGCTCACAGACCCGTGCACTCTATTCTATGCTGTATAAGTTATACTAAACATAATCATTGTCAGTAATATTCACATTGACAAATCAGCAGCGGACAAATGGTAAGTTTACAGTTTCTATTACACCAATTATCGAAACGCACCAAACCTTTGTAACGTCCAACCGCGCGGCACTTAATATTTTTATTCCGAAACTGATTTTTAGATTTTAGTCTTTTGGCCCTTTTCTGAACTTTTGTCACTTCAATTTCAGAAGATGGTGATGCTTTATACCCTTTCTCCGGTATTAAAGTTTGTTTTGTTGGTTTGCTTTTAGCAACCGAATTGTGAGTACGCTCGGTATTGATCAACCACGCCGTAGATGTTCGCTTCGGAATTCGAGATGACTGTATTGATGCTTTAAATGATTTGAGCAGTGGCCAAAAGAATGATTGTGCTTTGGAAGTAGTGGCTCGATTGGGTGTTTTGGATGTGATAAAGATGGGCCGTGGTGATATTTGAGCAAATGTTGTCTTATCAGTGTTAACTTGTGATCCAGATGCCAGAGTTGGTGACACTGATTGAGATAAGGCTAATGAACTTGGCGTAAATTTATTTGGAGTTTCTGTTGTTGTTTTTTCTTCTTTGCTTGTCGATCGTTTTATAATTGTAGACGCAGATTCTGGTGTTGCCTTGGATGTAATAGTCGGAGCGTATTTCTTAATTAATTTTTCTGCAATATTCTCTTCTTGTACTGTCCTTTGAATTGTATTATGGCCAGCATAAATATTTGACAAATGTTGCTGTTGTTGTCGAATGGCATTATTTTTATAAGCTTGTAGCTGCTGTTGGTGTCTTCGGTGTAATACGTATGGATTTTGGACGTTAAGTGGTCTTGGTGTATCCAGATGAACCGTCGGGGTATAACTATTCATCCAACTCTGAGATTCACGAGGATAAACGGCATACGTAGGATACACAGATGATTGTGGTGAACAGACACACATTCCACCAGGGCAAAAGTTAGCATTACAGTTAGCCGTACACCATTCATCCATACCACCACCAAGCGTAATTGTGGCGTGGCATTTCAAAACGGGTCGCACATTGTTCCATAAATTAACGATTGGTCTTTGATACTGATTCCACCAATAGTTTATCAAAGGATTGGTATGGGGACGGCCTGGGTTTGCGAATGGACTGTTCGATTGGAACGGCAAATTGTGTCTATGTACAGGAGATTCCAAAGTTTTATCTGTGTCAACAACCGGATGTTCGGGGTATTCAACGTCAAAATGAGCATCTGTCACCCTTGGTCTTATTTTAGGGACGTAATCATACTGACTAAATGAAGGTTTTCTAGTTACGTAGACGCGATTTTGAGTAGTTGGTGCAGGCGTAGCTGGTCGAGAATGTCTTCCACGAACAGAAATTGGTGGTGGTATATCGTGTAAGTCTGTACTGGCAACCATTGAATTCGGCTCATGAGCGTGCTTGGTGCACGGAGTATACTTTGTATTTGCTAGGAAACGTTTGGTGGGTTTTGGTGTAGTCACAGGTCTCCTGGTTGACGTCGTTTTTGTTGTTGTTGTAGGTCTGGTTGATTTTGACGCAGTTGTGCTAATCGTGCGTCTTGTGGTTCTCATTTGTTCTGTTCGTATTCGTTTGAGCTCTTGTTCTCGTCGATAAGCTTTCTGCTTTCGTATTAATTCTTGACGTCTGAGATATTGTTGACGTTTGGCTACTAACTTTTGCTTACGTTCTTGGATTCTCCGTGTGTTTATCAACCATGTTGGAAGTGTGGTTTTCTTGGGTTTCTTAAAAGTTGTGGTTTTCTTGGGTTTCTTAAAAGTTGTTGTTTTCTTAGGTTTCTTAAAAGTTGTTGTTTTCTCAGGTTTCTTAAAAGGTGATACTGACTTTTTATTTTGGTTGTTTTGAGATTTAGTCTTCACCCACCTAGAGAGCTGTTTAGGTGATGCTGAAGCGCGCCAGTCACGTCGTTCCGAGTCGAGCATGTTTGGATTGACCAAATACGTTTCAGAAGATGTTGTATCCTTCTTCATTTTTCTCAGTTTTTCTTTATGTCGGATCAGTTTAATTGGTTTAGATGTAGTCGTTGTTGTTGGTTTGTATTTTGAGGTGGTCTTCGGTTTTTGGTATGGGGTAGTATTCTTCTTTAGTGGTTTGGGTCTGTGTTTCGGTGTAGGGGGTGACGTCATTGTGCTGACTGTAGTTGTTGTAGGGACAGTTTCTTTTACCCATTTAGACTTTTGACCTTTAGGTAAGATTTCGACATCTGCACAATTGTAAAACTCTTCTTGAGGTCCACATCCAAGACAGAAAACTCCCGATCTGTCGTCTTTATCCCAGGTATTACCTTAAATGAAACAAAAGACAGTACAAATGTACAAAAGAGTCAGATTGCAAATTATAAAAGTACATTTGAATGAACTTTTTTACTTTAGGCAATAGTTAGCTGGGGAAAAAATGTTCAACGGTATGCAAAAAATATTCAAGGCACTCAAAGATACTGCAATGAAAAACATGTACAAAAATCTGTTTGAAAAGAAAGAAAAGAAACTGAAATGTCTTTAAGTCTTTGAAAACATTGATGACAAAATGGAAAGAATGCTACTGAGGTACAGTTTGTAAATTACGTAACAGTAATAAAACTGACATATTTGGTTCAGAGTTATTTTCATACGCGGAAATTCTCACGTCTAAAATGTAGACATCGAACATAAACATCGTCACGAAATAAGACATTTTTCGATTTTTAAATAAAAAATATAAAAAGTTGTTGCTTCTGTGTAAATATTTCATGTTATTTAGGAAAGATACAGTGAATAAATTCTAAACTATAAGCATACGTCACGTTCTCTTGCATATAAGTTGGTATCGAATATGTTTAATACAAACTGCATAAATCCGTGTTGAGTCGAATTGGCTTTTATGAGTTTATTTTAGCCGCTCATGATAAAAATAGAGAGACGAAATCCTAACTAATCTCAACGCATGGTGCGAGGTTAATTGAATGCCGATCTAGAATATTTTGATAAAGGCGGCGCTCATTAAAGATGATTTTTCCATAAGTTCTTTACTTGATTTTGAGAGAGACCCCTTGGATACTACAAATTGGACAAACCGTCATAAGTAATCGCCGAGAAAGGCTTGTCAAGCATCTTCATATTCCTTTCTTAGAAAGTTTGTCCGTTATCGTTCTAAGCCACATGAATGCTCAAAGCTAGTTTTCTATCTATTTTTTCCTGATGATATTGACACAGGATGAGGATTCAGATTGAATTCCGTGCCAAAAAAAAAAGAGTAAAATAGTCTTACCCGTCCTGTATTTCCACTGAATAACACATTGCTTGCATGTTAATCCTTCGGGAAGTTTAACACTAAAATTAAAAAAAGCGTTGTATTTTCCTTGAGGAATCGGAAAAGTCGTTCCTTTACCATCAGCTCTCTGTAGAACATGTTGATCTAAACATTTTTGGGTAACCTTTGTCTTGGGGTCGTTCACTGGACAAATCTTGAATTCAAACCAGCCTTGATGATTAGCTGTAAGATGAACAACTACTGGAATAACTTCTCCTTCGTGATAGCTCTTACCAATAACACCATTGGCAAACTTTCCACCAGCTTCATGTGGTCGGTTTCCGTGGTATGGATCTCCACAGATTCCGCATTTCCCTTTGTTTCTTATCCATTGGACCTGCAGAAATAATGCTTTTGTAGTTAAATGAAAATACTCAAATAATGTTGAGGGCATTGAAAGGGATGTTGTATATTGAATTTCTCGCTCATTACTTCTATTAAAATCATTTCTCTTGACTGGTACTTGTGATTGTTGCCATAATTTAGATCTATAGGAACCAAAAACATCGAAAGCGAAGTCGGAATTTTGGAAAAAAGAAGCTATAAATATCCCCGATACAAAAAGATGCAGTGATTATTTTTAAATATGTGTAATTCCAAAATCGAAGGTTGACAGTATTCTATGCAAAGTAAGTAAGTCTTCTGTTTTCGTAAAAATATAGTTATGTTGATTGAGCTCTTTTTTCAGCGTTGATCGTCACTTCTCATAAGTCCTGTAATTCGTTGACAACATGATAGAAAAAATGGTCATGGCCGTCATTTATATTCTCGCGGAAATTTATAGCTAGGTATACCTCGATATGAGATTGGTAATAACAACCTAGACGTAGTGTCAATGTAAATGGTATATTTCGGTAGGTTGAATGTCGGTTCAGAAAAGGGTTACAGATAGTCTGTATTTATCTGAAGTTATATCAGTATATGTATTAATTGTTATTTTCCAGATCTATCAAAGTGATGGGGAACAATAAACTAGGGCTTGGATTTTTATAGCTACATTGTTACTGATATACATATATGTATTGTTGAGGAATGAGAATACGAACAGGAATAGTTTCCACGCAGATAATGTGGTCACTATGTGGTCAGTAATATCGGCGAAAGACAGTGACCGGTGGTATTTAAAGATACTTTAAGTTTGTCGAAATTCCGACGATCGTGGTAGAAGCTTGTCCTTTAGCGAACCAAGTCGAACCAGCCACAGAATCCGCTGAGGTTTCTCTTAGTACCATTAGCCGGGATTAAATCAAGCTTTAGACCACAGTTAGAGCACCAGGACAGTATCGAGTTTTTAATAACTTTAAAGAGTGGCAATTATTGTCCAGCATACTTATCTAATTTACCATTCCAGAATAGTAAGGTTAATAGGTTTAATTTGTGGACATTCAAATAATACAACAATGTTAATTGTATTTAAATCAAAACATTTTCTTGCTTTTATGTTTGAGAAGCGGTAATACCCATGTTCAAATAGTACTTCATATCCAAACGATAATATCCCATCCGATACTGTTTTAATACAAATTTTCCAAGGTACGGAGAATTGAACGAGGCAAAAGAAAGTTATAGTCCTCCTCCCTCGTAGACACGAGGAGGCGAAAAAAGGTCCCCATAGAATGATATGGTGTTTTCGTAGATCAAAAACCAGGTGGGCTGACGAAACTAAGACATTTCTGAAATGTATGTCAGGTAAAAATGCCTTAACATGTGGGCTATTTCAAGTATTGTGAAAAAATGAAGAGAAACAAATCCACTTACCATGCGACCGCCACAATATAGTTCATTATCGTTATAATTAACAGGGTTATTAAATCCAAGTCTCCACATACTGTTCCTAGCTGGTGGATCCATCATTCTTCCATGTCCAGCACAGGGATACGGGCAAACAGTCAAAAATATAACCAAAACTATTATATTTCTTATAATCATGATGGTGAGCAGTTTAGTCGTAAATTAAAACCTTTCTTACAACACTTTTAAGATAAATTGATACTTTTCAAAAATTATTATATCGTCAAGAGCAGTAGACGATCTTTTTCGTTGGTCGCCACAAATAAACTTCAGTAGAAAAGAGAAAAGCAAGGTTATAAGTATCCATCCATGTTTGAAGCTTTTTTGTCGAAATGTAAGTCGTATCTTATAGCTAGCAGTTCACAAAATCTTCAAATTTCAAAATTCACGTTTTAATCCTTTGACACTTGTGTATGTTCTGACTGAAAGCAACAAGTGATGCGACTGTTCATCTGTCAGACGTTGTTTAGATCACTGTAGAATGAAGGCAACCAACCTGATTAATAGAATGAAGCAAAGTAAAGTCGAAGGACAAGGTATTCGAAACTCGAAACGCTATACAAACTATGAAGGCCAGAAGAACTGCTAACACTGTGTTTGTTTATACGTTCTCATGGCGTCTTCTGAAAACAATGGGGCTTATTTCAAAATGATCAAACATTGAAGAACATAGAAGCTAAAATAAACATGGCTAGTTGTTTCTATAACATACCAACCACCTGAAAGATATTATCATAAAAAGATACTTCAGGTTCAAAATATGATTGTATTTACTAAAAAAAGAAATAAAAAAAAATGCTCATGAAATATTTTTTTTGTTATATTTCATTAGACATTCGACTAAAGTTTTCACATTAAGAAGTATTTTGAAATAATGTCTGAATTTAATTTGCCTGGAATCGTTTGAAAAAAAAAATTCAAAATTGTTCGAAGTTTAACTATTTGATAAAAATATATCTGGAGATCAACCCGCTATCCAAATTACTTTCTCATATATATCTGTCTATATTCAATTACCTAAGTTAATGATCGCTGCCTCACCACCAGGACTTTGACTACTATCAAAGTGTTCTTCGAGAATCGGTTTCCACAAATCAATGCGTTTTTAGTGCCTGCATTAATGTTGTAATCAATACAAGTACATCATGATCAGTGTCTGTGTGAATATCGTTACCAATATGAGTACATTATGATCAGTGTCTGTGTGAAAGTCGATACCAATATAAATACACAATGATCAGTATCTGTGTAAACTTCGTTACCAATATAAGTAAACATCATGATCAGTGCCGTTATTAGTATCATTTCATCATGATCAGTGCCTGTCTGAATGTCGTTATTTGTATCAGTTCATCATGATCATGATCAGTGCCTGTCTGAATATCGTTATTAGTATCAGTTCATCATGATCATGATCAGTGCCTGTCTGAATGTCGTTATTAGTATCAGTTCATCATGATCATGATCAGTGCCTGTCTGAATGTCGTTATTAGTATCAGTTCATCATGATCATGATCAGTGCCTGTCTGAATGTCGTCATCAGTATAAGTACATCATGATCACTATCTGTGTGAATATCGTTATCACTATTATTACTATTGGCGCTTGTTCACCAAAAAGTGACTGAAAATAACATACGTGTCTGAATTTGTGTAACAACATAATAATCGAGAAATTATTTCTTAGGCTTAACAACTTTTAAGACTTGTACTTTTCATTTAAAGTTGAAGGATACTTACCATTCCATTATAAAAACTTATTTATTTTCAACAGCTTAAACAAGATTATCGACCTCTGAAAGGCAAGTGTATGATCTAACGACATTCTTGTTGAAGGTCTAATCTGGGTTCAGTTAAAAGGGCAAAAAGTGATTCGACGTAGATTTACTAAGTTTGCGAAGAAAATCTTAACTTAAACACAAAATAAGCTTGAAATCGAAACATTGATAAAAGCCACGCGTCCTTCGCTGTAGATGTAAAACGAATTGTTCATGACTTTTGAGACAGAATAAGTTGTAGTGGCAATATTTCACCCTGAAATGAAATCTAGTAACTTACGTCGGATGCGTTCGCGAATAAGCAAAATACTTTTACATTTGATCGTAGGGTCATTTAACCCCCTCATTGCACCCGAATTGAATCGATACTGCCGAATTAACACACAATGAAGGAGTTTAATTCTTTTAATTCTCTTGTGCATTTAGTTTTTGAGCAATCAAAGAGGAGTCTGTATTTGTATATTTTTCTTTTATCCAGTTATTTGGACATTCAAGGAATTGCAGATAAGGACACTTTCTCACAAAATCAAGATTTGAATAATAATGTTGACTTGACAAAGAATGGAATTTTCATATTCACGGCTGTACAAATATTGTTACAAAGAATTGTTCACATTCAAAGGTGCTGGCGTTTCTGTCAGCGCGTCATTACGTCTTGCCTTCAATTTACCGCCATTAGGGAATTAATCACTGTTATCACTGAGGTCAAAGGCTAAGAATCATTAAATGCCGGAATACTTTGAGATAAACGATTTATCCATATTTGACCGACTGTGTAAAACATAATTGGTTGGCCACCTGCATGTCGACTCATGTAACAGAGACAATATTAGTTTGTTACTGCATCAAACTTTCAAACTACAGACATAGTCAAATAAAGTGGGAAGAACAAAAATTCCTGGACTCCAAAGTACACATCTAAAAATAGCCTGACATAAAATAAAATGCATGTTTTAATGCTGATAGGTCATTTCAAACTTATTTCAGAGCAAATCTTAATAGTGGACCACATCTTAATGGTACTTAGTCTAAGATATGCATGTTTCTATTGAAAAGCGTCTAGTCCTCCGGATAGGATAACATCCACAAGGCCCCAAGTACAATGGGACGTTAAAACCTTCTTGAAATAACACTGGAATAGTCAGACGAGGAGCAAATATAAAGTCGCCAACAAACTCCATTAAATTTAAAGGAGCAATATGCAAATATGTAAATTAAGTTTTAAGTGAATATATTTCTAAAATATGCCATATACCTCTATGTATCTACTTATCCTGTTTTCAGAATGTGTAATCTAAAGGGACGAGGGCGCGCCATGCTTTTGGTGTCCAATCATATTCTAGTCTCAGAAACAGGAATTTTTTTGTTAAGCCAATCAGTAATAAGTGTTCACAGCTCACCGTCGAAATTTGAGCCTTCAAATCTATGTGTGACCTGAATTATCCGCGTTTAAATGTTCAAATGGCGACTCTCCATTTTAAGATTCTTTGTGATATGTAGAAAATACATAAAGAAATAGCGAGTAAAATTCCTAGTTTGAAGTATTTTTATAGGAATTTTGCGATTTTCGTACATTTTTAGTACTTCTGAAGACTATTTACATATATTCAAGACTCAAATCCATGAGTCCCTTTACAAACTAAATGTACTGATTATTAGTTGAGTAGTTTTAGCTAGATTTGTGGGGGATGGGGGATTATGTTCTGGTCTATCAATAATTTGAGCACCTTACTTTCCAGGTCTACTTAAAAATCAGACTTCTCTTGTTAAGAGGTTTTATAATTTTTTTATGTGTATCGGGGACACTGATAGCTTTAATTTGCACCATTCCAATTTTCATTCAAACGTCTTGCAACTAACGCGTTTTATGACGTAACTAGTTTTAGTGGAATTGCAAAAATAGCAGACGTCCGAATGAAAATTGAAATGGTGCAAATTGATGCTATCAGTGTCCCCGATACTCATACAAAGTTTAGAAAATTTACAATCCCTTTAAGGATCGGTCTATGAATGTTAGGAATAAAATCCCAGTCACAGAGGTATATATTATACGGTAATGCATATGAATCAATTTGTTATGCCAAAATATTTATTCGAAGTGATATCCCTGACCTTAGATAACATGAGATGTCAACAAGGTAAACTATATTTTGATTGGAAAAATTTTAATTTTATTTCTAAAAGACTATAAATTTTCATTTACTCGATTTTTTTAATAAACTAATTGATATGCACCGTGTGTGTTGTTTAAATAAGTAATAAAAAGCTTTCTAGGGTATCCTTTGACTTAAATGAACACATTCAATAGAAATATTTCAATTAGTGTAACATTCTTTTAATAATTATTATAAACAACGTCGTCAAAAATAACGAAACAACAAAACTGGAACGACACCTAATAATTGACATAAGGTACACAATTTTTATGAGCAAATTTCTTCAACAAATATTCAGGTTCTTCAAACGTTGGTAATTGATTTAAGAACATTTACAGTTAGTTTACAAAACTAATTAGTTGATGTCGAGAGAATGAACCTATTGTCATGGAAGAGATTTTGTTTGTTGTGAATTTTTATCTCAAGACTAGTTGTTACAAAGCAATCACAATGTTTTTAAGTTGCCAGTGAGAAAAACAGTCCATGTTAGCCGTACTGACTTGCACTTCGGGAGGTACAGTGTATATTGTCAATATAAAATTTACTTGTAGGTTAAGATACACATTCCAATAGTTGAGAGTTTAAAATTTACTGGTAGATTAAGTTCCCTGGTCTAAAGACTAACTAAAATTCCAAAGGTTTAGAGTTTAAAATTTACTGATAGTTCAAGTTCCCTTTTCTAAAGACTAACTGAGATTCCAAAGGTTTAGAGTTTAAAATTTACTGGCAGTTTAAGTTGCATGCTCACAAGACTAACTGAAATTCAAAAGGTTAAGAGTTTAAAAAATGTATTGGTAGTTTAACTTGCATGTTCCCAAGACATCCCAAAGGGTTAGATGTGTTATTTAAAGACATTTTCGTCTGTAATAATATCTTATATTCATTCCATATACCATAAAATTTGATTTTTTAATTGGGCTGTGAGATTTTGTGAGCATTGTTTATAGCATCAGAGAGAGTGTTATGTTCAAACGCCTGACAAGCACAGAGGGTGGATGACAAAGAAGACAATGTTACTACGTCTTATCATTCAATGGCCAATGATGTATTATTAAATATTATGAAATAAATTTTCCATTAATGGCAATGGGGGAATTAACCCTTGTTTTATTAACTTCATTTGGTTTAAACAGTCGGTTTTTCTGTCCTTTAATTTCTTCATTTCCATCACTTCATTATGAAAATGATATTATTTTTCGAAACTA